CATACTTTTTCAAAAAGTGAGGTGGGGGGGGGGGGGGAGGCTCGAGCCCAGCCACTTTGCAGACCATGACATAAAGGCTTCTAAATAAGCGTATTTTTTGCTCGACTGTAATTTGGGAATTTCTTATCGTCCAACAAACGCATAAAAAGGTAAGACTTACAAAAGAAAATGGAGAAAAAATAACAAAAAAACAGACACGCTTTCCCATTCTCGCACAATATGTCCATGATATGCGCTATTATAAAGACCTCCATTGATAAATACCGTATAGGTGGCATGCGCAATGTTTATGAAATTTAATTCCTGTGAACGTTTCTTTTTTTTAATGGAATTGTATATGTGATTTAATTCAGGATTTTATTATTGTTATGTTCTTTTGAGTTAAAAATACAAACCATGTTTACTCCTTTACTGTTTTTTTTTTTTTGTTTTTGGAGGGGGGGGGGGCGTTTTTTGTGTGGGGGGGGGGCAAAATGCGTTTTGTTAACAAATTCGTTGTTATATACATTCTCTCTAGTTTAATTATATGGGAGATAAATTCAATGTTGTACAGTCAGTTTACATCTCAAATGCAGCTGTGCACATATTTAAAACATTAGACATGGCAACCAAGTCACAATGAAAACCACATATTATTAAAAACATTTACGAGACCAGCTTTGCCTTCGTGCTTCATTATGTTGTCATCCCTTTGGAATCAATGTGGAATTGTGTGGAGGTCCTACATAAACAGCACAACAATTTCGCCGTTCATTTCCGATTCTCTTAAATTCATAACGACTGAAATAAGATCCATTCAAGTTGCAAACTTCCGACGAATCAACAGTTTCCCAGTTGCATGTATACCTGCATAAGGTCTTGCGGTACCGCAAAATATTTCGGGAACAAGGTGTAATTGCGCTTTTGCCAGGTATATTGAGGTTCATTTGTAAAATATATTCCACATATTACAGAATGTTACAATATATGTTTTCTGTACAGTTGTATTAGAAAAAGATATACAGGCTAGTACAATAGAATTTTAAATTCTTGACGATAATATTTTGGAGAGTGCAAGTTTTATAATTTGTTTGATAGTCTGTTAAATAAAGAGGACTGTTTCATTGTTAAAGTATCTCACCCGTCTACATATCAAGCCCTATATATTTTTTAAAAATTTATATAGGTGACAGAAGGGGATCGCATCTGTTTATTTCAGTTCATCCTCGTGAAGCAATTGCTTATACATAAACTCACCGATCGGAAATAATAAATCTCTTAAAGGTTTTATTTGAACCCCATGATCTCTTTTTCAGCCAACATGAAAGTTTGAAGAACTTTGCAGGAATTGTGAATATGTCACGTATGTCCTATCTGTCAGCAGTGTCCTATAGAATTCAAATTATGCAAGGAAACCTGTTTACTTTTAAGACTTGACCGTCAGACGCTATTGAATGAATGATTGACTTGCTTTGGTAATAAATAGAGCTGTAAGGGGTACATGAGCATTACATGCAGGCACGGATCCAGGATTTCTTAGGAGGGGGGGGGGGGGGGGGCAAATATGAAATCATGCGAGCCAAATATTGGTACGTTATGGTGACCAGCAGTGACGTAATTGGGAGGGGGGTGGGTGCAAGTAGGGGCGAGTTTCCCCCCTCCCTCCTCCGCGAAGCGCGGAAGTTTTGACATTTCAAAAAATTATTAGAGAAAGAAGACGATTCATTGTACCGCTCTCGAAGATAATCCTCGTCTGAATTTATTTTCTTCCTCCTGCGCGACGCGCGGAAGCTTTTACGTTTCATTAAATCATTAGAGAAAGAAGACGATTCGTTGTACCGTTCTCGACTCTTAATCCTTGTCTAAATTCAGTTCCCCCCTCCCGTGTGAAGCGCGGAAGCTTCGACGTTTCATTTAGTTTTTAGAGAAAGAAGACGATTCGTTGTACCGCTCTCGAAAATATTCTTCGTCTGAATTCAGTTTCCCCCCTCCCGCGCTCCCTCGCTACGCGTTTTTAGTCAGATGAACTTATGTTGATACCTTGTCTGCCCCCGGAAGTTCAGGGGTTCTAGGCCTTTAATTACGGTCAGATGAGCATTATTTTGATACCTAATTGTGACATTTGCAGGTCACTAATTGGCGTGGGGTTCAGGGGGCGGAGCCCCGGAAACTCAAGGGTTTTAGGCACACAATTACGGTCAGATGAGTATCAAGGGGCCCGCCTTGAGGCTTTTCGTTGGGGTCAGGGGGCAGAGCCCCCGGAAGCTCAGGGGTTTTAGGCGTTTAATTACTGTCAGATGAGCATCTAAGGGCCCGCATTAGGGCCCTAGGTGGAATCCAGGGGGCTGAGCCCTCGTGGTTTTAGGCATTTGATTTAATCATGGTCAGATGAGCATATTTTGATACATCATTATAATGTGTCACTGGCAGTTAACTATTTTTTCTTTTTGCTCTCTTTCTTTCTATTTCTCTTTAATATACTTTTTCAAAAAAAGTGGGGGGGGGGGGGGGGGGGGGGGGGGGGAGGTTCGAGGATCCCGATCCCCGCCGTTCCGCGGGCCCTGACATGTAGGCATGTCAAAAAGCATTTTCTTGCCTGGCTGTAAATTTAGGAATTTGTCATTTTCCAACAATTCGCATACAAAAGTACAATTTACTTAAAAGTGATGAAAAATCTCGGAAAATTATGTCATTTCAGCATTATTTGTAAACCACCGTTATGGAGTTAGAAATAAACCACGTTTGAATTTTATTTCCCCAAAGCCCCCCCCCCCCCCACTCCCCTATCAGTACGCCAGTGCCCCCCCCCCCCCGATTTACACCTTGTTGACGAGAAAATTACAACTGATATCCCTTACCTTTCTTCATTCTCTTTTTGCTCTTTCCCTTTCTCTCCTCTTTCCCTTTCCCTTCCCTTCTCTCTCTTTTAGGTTTGCCTGGGGGGGGGGGGGGGCAAGGTCATTTGGCCCCACTCCGCTCCACACATTGTTGACTGCTCCCCTTCTTTTGTCCCTTTTCTTTTCTTCTTCCTCTTTTTGTTCCCTTTTAGCTCTCCTCTTTTCCTTTTCCTTCCTTCTCTTTTTTTTAACGCGGGGACGAGGGGGGGGGGGGGGGGGGGGGGAGGCAAGGGCCTTTTGCCTCCACCCCCCCCCCGATCGGGAAAATTGCAACTGATATCCCCCTTCTTTCTTTTCTTCTTCCTCTTTTTTCCTTCCCTTTATCTAATTTTTACTTTTTTTCTTTCCCTTTCCTTCCTTCTCTTTTATTTTTTGATTGGGGAAGGGGGCAGCAGCCTGGGAGGCAATTCCTTTTGCCCCCCCCCCCGATCTCCTTCTTCCCTCTTTTCTTTTCTCTTCCTCTTTTTTTTTCTCTTTTTCTCCTCTTTCCCTTTCCCTTCTTTTCCTTTTCTTTCTCTCCTTTTCTTCGGGGGGGGGGGGGGGGGGGTGCAAGGCCCACTCGCCCCCCTGGATCCGCGCCTCTCTACATGTACTAAATGTACATTTTGTCTATTATGTAAAAATCAGACTAATTAAACGAACGTGCTCGCTAAATTCAATTCGACAACTAATGATCATTATTTTCTTACAAAAAGACATTTTTAGACCTTTTGGTTTTGAGGGAAGTTCTAAATAATTATTATCATTCAAATTACGTTGGAATTTAACCTCGTCATTATTTTTGGCCTGCACATAGGACATAATACCGTTTTAACTTCAATAAACTGTATTGTAATTGGATGGTGAAAAATTAATATTCCAGTTTAGCTATAGTTAATGTACATGGCGCTATAGGGTGGTGAAAAGTTAGCGTAGGGTGGTGAAGAATAAATATTCCACTTTATCCATAGACAATGTACATGACGCTAGGGTGGTGAAGAGTTAATATTACCATTTATCCATAGACAATGTACATGACGGTAGGGTGGTGAAAAGTTAATATTCCACTTTATCCATCGACAATGTACATGGCGCTATAGGGTGGTGAAAAGTTAGCGTAAGGTGGTGAAGAGTTAATATTACCATTTATCCATAGACAATGTACATGGCGCTAGGGTGGTGAAAAGTTAGCGTATAGGGTGGTGAAGAGTTAATATTCCAGCTTATCCATAGACAATATACATGGCGCTAGGGTGGTGAAAAGTTAGCGTAGGGTGGTGAAGAGTTAATATTACCATTTATCCATAGACAATGTACATGACGGTAGGGTGGTGAAAAGTTAGCGTAGGGTGGTGAAGAGTTAATATTCCAGCTTATCCATAGACAATGTACATGACGGAAGGGTGGTGAAAAGTAAGCGTAGGGTGGTGAAGAGTTAATATTACCATTTATCCATAGACAATGTACATGACGGAAGGGTGGTGAAAAGTAAGCGTAGGGTGGTGAAGAGTTAATATTCCACTTTATCCATAATTGACAATGTACATGACGCTAGGGTGGTGAAAAGTTAGCGTAGGGTGGTGAAGAGTTAATATTCCAGCTTATCCATAGACAATGCACATGACGGTAGGGTGGTTGGTGAATAGTTTATGTGATTTGGTATTTAAAGAGTCAATGCCCCCTTTCGCAGAGAAAAGGCATATATATGCATGACATGCTTATAATTGTGGTGCGGGGATATCTTTGCAATTCGAAAGAAGATAATAACGTTTTAATTTCTAACATAAATGAGGTGAGGTCTTAGTATAATTCTTTGATTTGCCCTAAGTACTGCGCTTTACCCCCCCCCCCCCCCTCCATCATCTACTCTCATTATATCCGACCACCATGCCTATTTTAATTGGTAGCCAGCCATCGTTGCACTGATCATGCCTGGATACAATACACAAAGAATATATTGCGTGTGTGTAGTATAGCGGTTGTACGTGTGGGTACAATGCGATCCTTACACTTATCAAATTGGCAATTTTTACACATTGGATGGGCTACCTTCATCTCTGATTAGGTGTGTGAAGAAAAGCTTCACCCGTATACCACAGTGCTTTTGGTTCTGCGTACGCGTACGGGTCCGTCTCTGATCTCGTGATTTAGACTATGCCAATCCCCGTGTAAACTGCGGGTGCTTATTCAGACTTCACTCAACCAATCAAGATGGCGACTTTTAGCTCTTTGTATGCATTTCTTTTTGTGACATGTTTCTCATCTTTTTGCACTTACGGTAAGTTTTAAATGAATTATTGTTCGTGTATCTTAATTCAATGTTCTCTTTCAGTCTTGAAATATCGATGATTTCACGATATTTCACCATTTTCTCCCCTGTTTGCCGTTCATATCTGGTTCATATCATCCGCTCGATCGGGCGACTAGATCTAGTCTAGCTCTCCCTCGGCTCTGCAGAGCTCGGGCGCAGGGCGGCACTGCTCGGCCGTGGGGCTGGTGCCACAGGCACACTTTAGCCAAACCTAAGTCAAGGATTAAAGCCAATGGTAATCTTAGGAAATATTTTATTGACATGACCTAGGCTTGAATGGCATGTACTATACCCCTGTATGAAGAGTGATGTAAAAGTTGTGAACAAAACTGCGCTCGTAATCGCCCCTTCCGCTTCCGCTTCGTTTTCGGCCTTCCCGCACCAATCATCAATGTCAATGAACAGGTAGGGCACTGATCCGAGAATAAGGATCGTCCGCTTAAACAACGAGCGGCTTTGTAAACGCAAACAGAAATGTCCTCGAAAAATAAGGATCGTCCGCATTTGGCGATGTAAAAAACAGATTCCGGGATGATTTTCTTGATGCATTTCACATTGACTTTTTTATGCTTCCGTTACGAAGTTGCCGGAGGTGCAGTGCAGATGTGTGTACAAAACTACAATGTCTGATAAGAGGTACAGTTAACTGAGTGCGAGAGACACAGAGACTTTAATGTTATGAGCGATAAATCCTTGGGAAGACGGACAACCCTCAAAGTAGATGGTGAACTAGGGGTATTCTATTACGGAGAATTCGTTTTTGTCATTGCTAGCGCGGGGATCGGCAACCCTACACCCGCACACTCCAGCAAAGCATAGAGAGTCGAGCACTGCATGTACATGTATTTGTGAGGCACAGAATCGACTTTTTGAACTTAACCTGTAAAATGCTCGACAAATGCAACATAACATGGACTATAAAATCATTAGGTTGATTCATGAACCATTATTGTACATGATTCTGTCAGTAAAGTGGAAAGAAATGTCAAAAACCTTACTTTTAAAGCACCATTTCTCTCCCTGTTCCCGAGTTTTTGCACATTTGTGAGCTCATCCATAACAGTGCGGTCGCATCATGCATTTTTTGTATGGCGCACCATTCCCCCAATAATTCTGATAAACACTGTTTATCGAGCGATAAACTATTTTTATTGACTGATAAACTGTGTTTATTGGGAAAAACCATTTTTCACTACACATGGACACACACACCACGTACATGTACACAAAATCATTTGAAATTGTGTATTTAATCAAACAGATTTAGGGCAAACTACAATGTGTATGTAGTTACCGTTCATATTCAAAAGTAAAACATTTTTGACATATAAGGTACATCATATATTATATATTATCAGGGCACTGAAAAACATTGATGTGTAGTACATGTTTATCATTCTATGGGACATAGATTATTACATTATTCAATATGAAACTAAGTATTCTTTTGGTTTTGTGTCATTTCCTACACATATGACAAGCTTCCAGCTCCCATCAAAGACCAATTTAAAAAAAAGTACAGATGCAAGTTGTTATTTTTTGTTAATGGTTTTTCTTCGTAATTCATAACAAATCTTTCGATTACTTATCGTACAGTATTATCTTCTTCCTAATTACCACAGTTCATATAAAAAGTGTGAAAATATTGTTATAGTTTCAGAGCATTTTACAATAGATTTCATTTTGACCATACTGGCAAAATTCATTGAAATAATGAAATTAGTTGAAGCATCTTGTAATAAAGGAGGGACGTACATGAGTCATGTATGTATACACTGTGCAGTGACTTTAGTTTAAGGAATAGATATTAACTGTTTTCCATACCTTAAATCTCTGTGTATAAGACGACCTGTGTATAAGATGCAGCCCTATTTTTTGGGCCGGAAAAAAAAAAGAAGAAAAAAAAAGAAGATATTTTTGTTGCCGACTCTGTAGGCAGCAAGCCAGGTCCGTGTTAAAAAACCCACGCGGGGGCAGGACCTTTGTTTTACTGCGAGGTGCAGTTGAAAGCGCTGATTTGTGCTTGTGAACTTGTCACAAATAATAGTAACAATGTCGTTTTTAAAACTAAAGATGACAGAAAAATTTAAGTCCAAACAGAAATCCGGCCATACAGGTAGTGTTGTTCTAGTTTCTGAGTGGTGAGTCAACACACCTTGTATGACTGAGCTGGGAGACATTGCCAGGCACACTGCCAGGTGGAGGGGCATAAATTGACAATTAAAAAATAAAAAGCTCTTGTACCTGTGTATAAGACGCACCCCAGACTTTCAATTTTTTTCTGCGGGAAAAAGAGATTTACGGTAGATAGATTTCCCTTTAACAATGATTCCACTTCCTACAGGTACATGTGTATGAGCATTGGAGCGTCAGTCAGTGATAGAGTCAATGTGAAACTAGCACTACTTCCTGTATTATTCATTCAACAGTAGCGGTCTGTGTGCATCTAATAATATGTGTATTAATAAGAGGTACATTGTACTGGTGGCATTGGTCTTTGATAGGAGCTGGAAGCTTGTCATATGTGTAGGAAATGACATCAACCAAAAGAATACTTAGTTTCATATTGAATAATGTAATAATCTATGTCCCACAGAACATGTACCGGTACTACAAATCATGTTTTTCAGTGCCCTGATATGTGTAGTTTTACAATACTGGGTAATGAAAGTGTGACATGAATGCTTAAAAATGAAACCCTCTAAAATATGCCTAAATATGGTTCATTCTTAGAGAATGTTATTAATTGTATATTTGCTGTGAAGTGAGACAAAATTACAAACTTGAATAGTCGCTAACTCTGTTATAAAAAATATGAATGACACATGCACTTCTATGGGCAGTTTAACTCAAAAAGCTTTCTCTAAGAATGAACCATATTTAGACATATTTCAGAGGGTTTCATTTTTAAGCATTCATGTCACACTTTCATTACCCAGTATTGTAAAAGTACACATATAATATATGATGTACCTTTTATGTCAAAAATGTTTTACTATTGAATATACATGAACAGTAACTACATAATTTGCCCTAAAACTGTTTAATTAAATACACAATTTCAAATACTTTTGTGTAAATGTGTGTTCATGTGTACACATTACTTATTCTATATCGTTTGATCTTGTCCTGAAAAAAGAAGTAGAAATCTTTACAAATTTAAGTGTGTTTTTCTTATTTCCTAAATTTGTCCATGGCAGTTTATAGAGATTTGTACAAATCACTCTCATGCATCTAGCCATTTTACTTCTAACATTTTTTCCTCTATATTCCTGTTCTTTCTTTACAGTGCTAGGTGAAGGGAGGTTTATGCTAGCCCATGTACCTGATTACATCAACGTCCATCCTGATGCAGGCCCAATCAATGCCAATGAAATACCAGATTTATTCCCTTTAGCTTTAGGATTTTCAAGTTCAAAGGTGAGACAAATCTAGTCTGTATATTTATTTGTTTATTTATTTATTTATTTATTTATTCATTTATTTATTTATTATTATTATTATTATTATTATTATTATTATTATTATTATTATTATTTTTTTTTTTTTTTGGGGGGGGGGTTAAATGAATTTATTGATAAATATATATGCTTTCAAACAAATCAAACAATCATACACAATCAATTGAATTAACATCATAGCATCCTTACATTTTTCAAATAAAACATGTTTCATTTTCTTGAATAACATTTTTTAAAAAAATGCATAGCTTTTTAGTTTTACAATACTATTTGATCTTTAATCCGTTATGGATTAATCTTTTGAAAATACAAAGAATAGAGATTTCATGAAACATACATTTTCTGCTAGCATAAATGTTAGATAAACTGCATATTTTGCGTATGTATATTGAGTATTGAAGTGCCAACGTCATATTCGCCCGTCGTCCAGGTTACTGGTTGTTAACAATAGAGCCTGTCCATACGGTTCAACGCAAAATTATTCAAGCAACGGGCTAGAGCAGGGCAAATTCGGTGTTTGGAGTTGGTGTAATACTCGTCAACGGGCATATAACGGGCATATAACGTATATCTACAATGTGCAAATTGGCAATTGAATCCAATGACTGGGCTAGAGATAATTACAATGGAAAGCACTTTAAGTGTATATTATTAAATCCTATAAAAAACATGAATATTGTTATTATTATTATTATTATTATTATTCTTATTATTAATATAATGCTTTTGTCTCTGCCCTCTTGTTGTCAGCCTGTATCATGGCATGGTATGTCAAGTGGGAGTATCTTCAAAAGACCCAAAGCTGGTGTTCTAATCACAATAGAAGAGATTATTATTATTATTATTATTATTATTATTATTGCAATAATGCTTTTTTCCCTGCCCTCTTGTTGTCAGCCTGTATCATGGCATGGTATGTCAAGTGGGAGTATCTTCAGAAGACCCAAGGCTGGTGTTCTAATCACAATAGAAGAGATTCAAGGAACAGATGCTCTCAAGCCTTCAGCTCTTCACTCAGTTCCTATTAACCAGGTATGCTACTCAATATAATTATATTCAGTGAAAAAAATACACGGGGGCTCAGGGCGAAATAGCCCCCGAAATGCCCAAAAGAGCCCCGAAAATCAGAAAAGAGCCCCTTTAAATTTGCATAGAGTTCAATGTAAAACAAATTTTAGAATGTTATTTTCATGCCGGCAAGGTCGAAAAGTAGCCCCCGAAAAATAAATATTAATTTTTTCCCTGATTATATTAAAGTTACCAATCACCAAATTTGACCCAAACATGATTTGCTTACCGTAATTAACGGTGTATAAACCGCACCTTTTTGCCGCCGAAAAAAATCCAAAGTCGAGGGTGCGGTTTCGATTTTTGCCCCTCCACCTGGCGCTATGCCTGGCAATGTCTCCCAGCTCAGTAATCGGTGTGTTGACTCACCACTCGGACACTAGAAAAACACTCAAATTTGTCTGTGATCTCAATATGTAGTTTATAATAATAATTCCTCCAATTTTTCTTCTATTACATGGTGTACCACAAGGTTCTATCCTAGGTCCTCTACTGTTTTTAATTTAATTAATGATCTTACACATTCAGCTGCACCTCGTAGTTAAATGAAAGGCCTTCCCGCGTTGGTTTTTTAACACGGACCAGGCTTGCTGCCGAAAGAGTCGGCAAAAAAAAGTTTTTTTTTTTTTTTTTTTTTTTTTTTTTTTTAAGGGCGAAAAAGAGGGGTGCAGTTAATACACGAGGGCGGTTTATACAACGTTAATTACGGTATGATGTAAAGGGGCTCCTTGTTGCTATACTGTATTCAAACTATGGGCCTCATGTACAATCCCAGTGAAGTGTAAAATGTCATGTTCAATAGACTACTTAATGCACACGTATGCACTTGAATAGAAGAGGGCTTGCATATAACCAGATTCCTATTCCTGATGTGTTAGGTTGGCAAGTATGATAACAGGGTCTGTATGTATTGGTCACTTGTCCAATTTTGACATAATAGGGGTCGGGAGATAACATTTTGTGGCCCATGTACACCAGATGCCTGTTAGTGATGAGCCATGATGCATTTTTTTAATTAAAAAAAAAAATTAGATTGAGCAGTAATTTGAATATTCTTTTATCTTTTTTCATCCTCAGGTCAAACGTGGTAGTCTAAATCTGGACTCTATGAAGGACACTATTAGGAACATGTATGGAAAAGGCAAACCAGTCTCGGTAGAACTTGCTGCTGGTGTAGAGGTAAGTTAAGTTACATTGACATTTTATTACTTGATGTAATCATCACATATGATTCAGGATGGCATTCATTTTAATAAAAGCCTAAACCCTTTAATGTTCCTATTTGACACAGTTATCTGCTGGCAAAATCACACAGCGTTGAACATATTGAAGGATATTGCATCCCACATTTCTGTGCCGCATAAGACACAAATGAAATTGAAATACACTGTATTAAAGTGAGTGCGCTATGGGGACATTGTTGCCTGCAGGTACTTTTTCTCAGCCCTTTTGCCATATAAGAAGCAATTTACTGAATCATGTATGAACAAATTTTAGGAGTATTTGGTAAGCCCTCATGCCCCACTCTCTGGAATGCACTTTTTTTTTTTTTTTTTTTTTTTTGGGGGGGGGGGGGGGGGAGGGTCAGATTTCTCTCAATTAACATAAGAAAAAAGGGACCATGGGGGATCAACGGGTACCTCTTAGGCATTGTTGGCTATATAGAGGGCGCAAGTAGCTACAAGTAGTGCAGTCCTGCTTTAAAGAAAAGTTTACATTTAGCATTTATAATGTTTTAGATGTAAAAATCTGAATTCCCCATGTTTCCCTTCGCTTTAAGACTCCTACAGTGTGTACCCTTACACTGTGGATTTTATGTAAATAATCTTAAGGAGGCTTCTATGTCAAGTTGAACAAGATCATAATTTACTCCAATAGCATTGTTTCTCTTACCATTATTCAGGACACCATTTTTCAGGCACCTTTTTAATCCAGGCTTTTTCAGACCTCATATTAAAAATAATGTTTGGGGATCTGATGTTTTGGTCTTTTTTAAGGCTAATAATCTAAAACAAAGTGTATTATTTCTAGAATTATAGATAGCCTTGAGATTGACTAAAATGCACCTTTCAATTCACCTTTCACCTTGCAGTTTGTTCAGTCACCAGACGAGTTCCCAAAGCTGTTTGAGGGGCTTCCCCCTCTTAGGCTAGACAGGATGATGCCCCTGCTGAAAGGTAGCACATCAGTGACCCTTGAACTCTCACCTATGATCCTTAACCTGACCCACCAGTCAGATGTTAACTTCTTCAGCGAGCTTCAGATCATGAAGGAGGTTCTACTGAAGGTACAGCTAACAACAAAAAAGTTTATCATAGCATGTTTGTGTGGTTCTCATTCTTGCACTTCTTATGCCCTTAAGGCACATAAAAGTAACAAAGTGAGAGCAGATGATGTACATACGAAGTCTGAATCAAATAAAATATGGCAGCTGATTAAATATGCATACTATTTATCATTAACTCTAGAAATGATACTTATGAAATTTGCTCAATGCTTATAAATGCCCGCACATTTACTTTCATTTAATCTTTATTGATCCATGGTAATACTTGGAAATACTGTTTCCTTACATTTATTCCTGAATCACTTTGATGAACTGACTCTACTCCACACTCACTCCAATATGACTGATTTAATTTGGTCATGGGGGGGGGGTAATGTAAATTTTTTGAGTATGTGGTGTGAGTATTAGTTTTATTTTTATGCCTCTGCTACAAAGTAGCCGGAGGCATTATGTTTTCTGGTTGTCCGTCCGTCCGTCCCGTTCTCGTGATCGCGTTATCTCAAGAACCGATTGATGGATTACCGCCAAACTTGAATCATGCATGTATCTTGCAGAGCCAATGAACTGATTAGATTTTGGGGTCACGAGGTCAAAGGTCAAAGGTCACAGGGCTCATTATGTATGCAAAATAGCTCGTTATCGCGTTATCTCTATAACTGATTGATGGATTCCTGCCAAACTTGAATCATGCATGTATCTTGCAGAGCCAATGAACTGATTAGATTTTGGGTTCATGAGGTCAAAGGTCACAGGGCTCATTATGTATGCACAAATAGCTTGTGATCACATTATCATGAGAACCAAAAGACAGATTACTATCAAACTCAAGACATGTACATGTATCTTGCAGAGCCAATGAACTGATTAGATTTTAGGATTTAAGGATGCCTATAAATAGCTTGTGAATGCATTATTAAAGACGACAGATGGATTACAATCAAACTTGAATTTTTAAAGTTGCTTCCGTTTTGGTTTGTAAAATTGCTCTATGGCGGAGGCATCATTTTCGACTGCGCGCAGTCAGTTCCATCTAGTTTATTCTTGGACCTGTATGTAAAAACCGGTCAGGATCAGTCAATACTGATCCTCATCATTAAATCCATCACAAATCTTTATCTTCCATTCCTCGGCCATTCTCACCCTCTTTAATAGCTGAAGGAGAACCGAGCTGTTGTGGAGGATAACATACCAGACATCTATTCATTTGAGCTGTCAGGCTTCAGGGTTCTACAGACCGAGTATGGAGTAGACTCAGCTCAAGTCACTGATGCTATGAATGTTCTAGCTGACTTCATCCAACAGGTAGGAGTGTTCACATAGCACAGATCTCAGTTGGTTTTGTCAATTTGTTGGTTGCTTGTTTATTTGTTTGTTTGTTTGTGAGTGATGACAGGCTGTCTAGCTGTATGATGAGGCGTATTAGGGCAATTATCTTAGAGTTTAGAGGTTCCCAGATTAACGGAAAATGTGTATACCAGTGCCATTTTGCAAGGAATTAATCCTCAGTACATACATCTTTGGGTTTTCTTTGTCTGTGTGTTTGTTTGCTTGTTTGTTTGTTTATTTGTGTTTTAGAACATATTTTGATGCTCTGCAAGGAGTCCTTTTGAAATGTGAAATGCAGGTAAACTTGTCTATTCCACTCGGGTAAAAAACAATTGAAGTAGTCTTGAAAGACAGGTGGTCTTTATGTTCAGGATTTCAATAAGAAAGTCTCTTCAAGGAAAATGAAGAAAAAAAGTAGTATTAATGGACAGATGGCCTTTATAGGTCCGCGGTTCGAGTCCCGCCGCCGCTGTTCTAATGTCCTTTGGCAAGACATTAATCTACATTTGCCACACTCGACCCAGTTGAAGTAAATGGGTACATGCTAGTAGGATTATTCCTTGAAATGCACTGATAACAGCTGCCGGAGCTACAGCTAGGGCAATAATTTCCTAAAAATCTAAACAGCTTTTGGAAGCGCATGAGGACATTATAATGTGATATGCGCTATACAAGAACAGAATATTATTATTATTATTATTATTATTATAGGTGGTAGATAATTGGGTACATTTAAGCAGACCATAAATCACATTATACAACACCTACGTGGATCCTTGTCATTTGATTGGAGGATTGTTGGTCACATGATATTCAATAGATGTTATATTGCACGGTCGTGCATTTTTGGTTATATGCACCGTGCATATAATTATATGCAGACTGCGTACCTCTCAGCCTTGCGCGCGCGTATCCCTGCGTGTATCTGACGCGAAGGCAATCTGAATGTAACCGAGAAGGCTTGACTCTAATGTTAATGCTAATGTTAATCTTTCAACTCATGAAAATATTCGCACTATTGAACTCATAACCATTCATTATTTGTATATTAGACAATAACCCTACATGTATGTATATCTTCTTCTGCACAGTGGGGACGTGATATGGTAGAGCTGTATGGTGAGGATCTGTTTATGGGCGTGGCCACCGTTCCCATGGAAGCGTTCATGCACAGACAGGGACGCTCCCTCATGCAGGTAAGTACCCTTCAGCATTTTATTAAAGCCTGTCTGTACTAGTTTAGCCAAAAGGGATTAGACCTCCCTGCAAGGTCACTGACATGTGGTTATCTCATCAAATCAGCTCTCAATTAACATAAGAAAAAAGGGATCATGGGGGACCAACGGTCACCGATAAGACATTTTTCGCTATTTAGAGGGCGGAAGTAGCTATAAGTAGTGCAGTGGGGCTTAAAGGGTAGGGGTTCATGAATGGCGTGTGAGTGACAGGGGCTGGTCACACTTGCTGCGAGGTTAATTCTTACATGAAATAAAATCTTAACTTTATTCCTTGACCAAATTCTACAGGGTGTTCTTTACCCTAGTGCTGGTCCAATATCTATCCTTAGACCCTTTTGCAACCCTTACCCAAAACTTATGATGGGCAAATGTTGCTGGAGCATATGTTTGATTGATAAGGGAAAAAACATATCAAATAAAACATATCTTTTATCTATAAAAGACTAGATGTGTTCTTGACAGGCGGATACTAGTTACTCATGTATGCACAAAATATGACCAGGTGGAGCAATGTTTGTAAAGGGAAATGAAAGCTCTCAACGGAGCAGCCCTATCACTTACTTGAAAGTAGTGCTCATTCTCAAACACATAGGCCCCGAATTCACAAAGGAGGTTTAAATGTTCATTTACATAACACATGGTCTAAAATTAGCGCAAAATAAGCGTGACACAGTCAGAGGTCCAATATTAGACGCGCGCAAGGCAAGGTACGCTTATTTTGCGCTACTTTTTAAACCATGGGTTCTGTGAATGAGGGTTTAAATCATGGGTTAAGTTAAACCTCCTTTGTGAATTCGGGCCATAGAGTGGGGTCTGTTTAATATCAGGCTGTTATGAAAGTAGTATTGAATTCCAGTGCTCAGTCAAATACTTAATCAAAAGTTGAGTTTGATAAAACTTGTGGAAAAAGTCGGTGATCACAGCCCCAACAGACTTATTTAAGCATGTATTTGACTGTTTTATTCTCATTAAGACTCAACACTTATCAAGCTTTTTCATTCAGTCATGTACATGTATTTTGATTGAGTACAGATTTTCTATTATATTTTTTTCCTTCATCATTCATCTTATTTGATTTTGAATTTCTTTCACCATCAGATCTCATCATTTGAGTGTATTCTCTTAACTAATTATTATTATTTATTTTGGGGTTTGTGTTGTTGGTCAGATTGCAGTTCATTGTGCCATTTTGATCAATGATGACCATTTTTCACTCTTATTATATTTCTTATTGTACATTAGATCTTGTGTGTTTGTATTATTTATCTTTTTGTTTGTTTCCATAACATGCACTTTCATCCATTCATTTTCGCAGGCTAAGTATTGAATCAAGTTTCGACTCTGCTTTCATTCAAGCTGCAAATGTAATCTTTATTTCCCTTTTTCAATCCATAATTTACATTTACATGTACACCTTTTCCATATTCTATGTACATGTAACAGCACTCGCACAGCACACATGTAGATCATACATGTATCTTGTTTATTACCAAAACATACCATACGTATTAACTGAACCCTACTTTTATATTTATTTGCCTTCATTTAAGGATAAAGTTGAGTTCTGGTCATGCAATTGCATTAATTGTGAAAGAAAAGGCGTGGAATCGATCAGAAAAGTTTGATCATCTAGCATATAAGTATTGGTGTGTACTGCAAGGTTCTGGAATCATCAAATTGATAAGAAATTTGGCCCAGTCTCTGTAAAGTTACAAGCACTGTACACAGAAAGATGTATATGGGACTACACGAACATGTGGCGTAAAAATCCTACCCTGGATTTTTACGATGTTACATGACATATTAATAAGTAAGTATTTGAAGAGCCATGCTTTTCAGGGAACATGTCTTAACTGATGTTCTTCCACACTTGCATAATAGCATGATAGCGCTCACAAATTATTTTTCACCTCTTCTCAGAACTCAACCTTCTCTTTAACCATGTCATTTCATCTTGACTCAAGTCATAATTCTTCATGCAACACCATTTAGTGACAAATTTAACATTTTCAAGTACATGTACTAGTAGGTATTTCTAAGGGGCAATCCAACCTTTGTAATTAGTACATTAACCATCTTTAACCATCTTGCGAGCTTGCACTGAGAGTATTCCCTCCAATTTGTAATTTATTTTATCAACCAAATTTCCCCAATAACTTTATAGTCCACAGGTAGCACAACAGCTGCGCCCACCGACGCTCCCACCACAATGGGCGATCTAGTAAGTAGAGCACACTGCACAATATACCTACTGATTTTAATCATGTTTTCAAAGAAATTACAATTGTATAAAATAATAAGGATCATGATAATAAATGTAGTGTTGTGGAGTGCTCAAGGCGCATGTAGAAATAATTAAGAATAAAACAACGTTTTTACATTATTTTTAAAAGAATCAGAGATTATACACTTTTTTATGTCTTCAGGAAGGCTATTCCATAAGGTAGGACATGCATGAGCAATAGCATGTTTCCCCCAAAGTTTTTGCAACTTTAGGAAACACAAGTGCACCGGAAGTGGAAGAGCATAAAGATCTCACGGCGATGACATTTTGGATTAAAGAAATACTGTATTGGGGAGCAGAATCGTGAATGCAGGGACTTGCTGGCTAATTCACCTTCAAGAATTGTATACCTTTATGTTTTATGAGTGCAAATGAATTTCAACTTGAAATTAAACTTGATGTTCCTTATCTTCTATATGACAGATGTCATTTGAAGTGGCTGATCTGCATTACATGAGGCTCATTCTCTCAATCTCTAGTTTCTCTACAAATAGGTTCTGTTGCCAGACCCACCCCCACATATGAAGGCAGCATGAAGACTCGATTGAACAAGATTCAACTCTGTCTGTATTCATTCTATTCTATGTGACTCATTTTTTACAGCCTCAGATCTGCATTGTTTGGGACGTCTAATTTTCTTGACAAGTGCTGCTAGATCCACCCCTGTACATGTGGATAATGTCACACCTTCAACAATATTAATTTGAAATTTATTTTTATGTTCATTCTCTTGTTATTTCTTCCCATAATACTGCCAAACCAACTTCTTTAACCAGTCAATGTCATTGTATCAAGAACATCAATATTTCAAGTTCAACTGTGTTTATTCTCTGTAACAGACATCACTTGCAGCATCTGGGACCCATTTCACAAAGCCTTTTTTCAATGACAAATAACTAAAAATCAGTGACAAATCTGCTGATAACCAATCAGAAGCAAGAATTTCAGTAGCTTATAACAAAAACTGTCATTTGTCACTGATGACAAGTTTTGTGAAACCACTATGAACATGAGTGACAAAGAAAGCGGACAAAATATACAGTTCCTCAGGTAGACAAAGGAAAATCCCTTCACTGCTATTATGTAAAAATGTGTAGAACAGGTGTCACATGCATATTCACCTTTTTACATAATAGCAGTGAAGGGATGTTCCTTTGTCTACCTGAGGAACTGTATATTTTGTCCGCTTTCTTTGTCGGTCATGTTCATAGTGAACGCCCCCCTGGTCAGCATTATTTGACATTTGTTTGTTGTGTGTCTTGACAGACTACCGCTGCCGAGCCTACTCAAGCCCCTATAGCTAACATCACACCCTCAGCTTTGAATGTAGCACCATACTATGACGACACCTTCCCCGTCTTCTTCAATATCTTCCTCTGGATGGGAGTCATCCTGGTGGTCGCAGTGGTGGTCGTCACCAGTATGCTGGGGAACATGGACCCCGGCGATTCTATCATCTACAGGATGACCAGTCAGCGAATCAAGATTGATTGATTCAAACTCATTTGTGTCATGGATAGATTATTGAAATATATATTATCATCGAGGTAGTGTCAATTTGAATTACTGTGAAGAGTTGCTCGTGTAGTTTGTTTCGGGGTTTAAACAATAACGTGGGGTGGGATTGATGTATTTTTCATTTAGAATGCCAAAGACATCAATATATTCTTCTGATTAATAAACCTATGGATTTACGCCTATCTGATAGACTAGGAGAACAAATGAAAGATTTGATAATGCACCTTTATACTAAAGGTGCTCACCAAACATGTCAGTCGTTGGTACATTAATGAGAAAATGGGGGGGGGGGGGGGGGTGTAGGTGAGACGTACAGTGCGTGCTGTGTGCCTTCATTCAATACAGCCCAATTTTAATACATTGTGAAGTCCTCCCAAGGGAGTCGAGGAAAGTGGTCTATAAAGGTTAAGGAAGGAGGTTTTTATATATAGGGTTTAGTACATGTTTCATTGTAAAGCACTTATCATGGAAAACCAAGATGGTGGTCTATATAGATAGGTGGTCTTTCTGTACAGGTGGTTAATATTTAAAGCAGGTTTAACTGTTATAGTGGTGCAACTCTTCACAATTGAATATCAAATATATAGTAATGGGGCCCGTTGCACAAAACTCACCATAGATGGTACTACTTTGCCATCAATAGATCATGGAAATTAGTCTTCATTGTGATTGGCTGTTAAGCCCTGTAATACCATGGCAGTTGCCATTGATGGCATAATTTACCATCAATGGTAAGTTTTATACAATGGGCCATGGTAATTTTCCTCTCACTGCCTCAGGTCTACACCCACATTTCACAGGACATTAGAAGGGAAGTAACTCTGGTTGATAAGGCAGTTAGATGATAGTCATTTCATTCATTTTTTTTAAAATCAGTTAAGTTGATCAGAAAGTTTTGAATCTCTTAAACCATGTACAAGCTCCATTTATTGAGGGGAGAAGGTATCTTCAATGAACTCATGGGTTCGGTCAAGTCTTTTGGGCTTTAGGATAAATCGTGCTGAGAGGAATCCTGTCTAGGTATGGCACTTTAGTAGGGACTTTTAGATTCTGCACAACAAGAACATGGACTGTCCTTTTAAGGCACTGGCAGTGACGTCACATTGCCTTAAAAGGGCAGTCCGCGTTCTCGTCGTGTAGAATTTAAAAGTCCCTAGTCTCTTCACCCATTGCCAATGATAACCAGATCATCCTTGGCTTTTATAAAGCATGTGCAAAGTTAGAGAATTTGGTTACGTTGGCTTCAAACTAATCAAGCCAATACATACAGGTAGACAGTTGACATCTATGATAGGCATTGTTCCTCCTGCTAACAATTTGTATGGTGTTTGTCCTTTTTAATGTGCTCAACTTATGCAATGTGGTAGGTGATATTCCTTTCTTGAATTACCGCTTACCGGTATTAAGCACACTGTACTCTAATGAATGAATTCCAATGGGGCTTATACATGGTTCATAGAAAATATTAGGTGCATCATCAGTGGGACACCATTTGCAATCTTGTGAAAATTATATTATTATCATTTGTAAAGTCATGTTTTGTGTAGACATTATTAGTAACATATAGAGGTATTTTGGGATGTAACACAATGTCTGTAGATATAGATATATTTCTTTGAAAAGTGATTCATGTTTGTGAGTTTTGTTTTCGTCTCATGCCAAAATAATCTCTTCCTGCAGGCAATTTAAAAACAAATAATTTGTTGTTGTTGATGGTTTATAGTGGACATTGATTTAGTAACATCTTTATGCAAGTATGTTTGTTCTTTGTAATAACAGTTAAGCCAGTAGAATAAATACTTTCTCTCTCTCTCTTTTTTTCACAAAAAAGTATAAATTGGGTTTAAACTATGTCATTAAGTATGAATAAGGGATGATATACATTTAATTGTAAATGGGAAATTCTCTTCTGTACTACAAATGCATCTTTATACGTCTGCAGTCTCCTATTGATGGGGAATCAGTGTCATTACATGCGCAGGACATTGAGGCATTTTTGTTATCATGACAGATGACAAATCGTCAGACCTCCAGTGTTCATCTAATCTTGCTTTGATAGTACATGTATTGATGAAGTTGGATTCAGTTATCTTTAGGAAGGCTGTTCCACAGTGATGTAGGTTTTACGTTGTAAATTTATCAATGTTATTAGTTTTAATATAAAAATATTCATGTACACTGTTTACGCTTTATCACGTATTTGTAATCTACATTGTGCAGGTATTTAAAACCTAAATGACATTGTAATGTACATCTCCAAAGACTTTCCCCCCAAATGTCTAACACTTTAAATACAGATGACAACCTGTTAGAAGTTGAGTCTTTATTCTTTATGTTTTTATGCTGAACACTCATTTATTAATTGGGTGTTCATTTATTTGTCATTTCTTGTAGAAGAAATATTGAAGCAATACTTTATCTGTTTTATTTCTACATGCAAATTATCATTTCAGTCACATGGATATATCCTATTATAATGAGATTTATATGATTCAGCATTCCAGTCTAATAATGTGTTGGTTCATCTATACTATCATATATTATATTTTATGTGGAAAAAATTATGAAATTCATGTATCTAGGTATTTTCATAATCATTCTAAAATGTGAAAATGTGTGGTAAGTACTATGACTATGTCACTGTAGTCTCTGTCTGGTATTGGTAAATATTTGTTATAGTTAAGTATCATAGAAGAGAATGATTTTCATGTTATTTGATGACCTTTGTTATTTCAATGTATGAATGTTTGAGATATGGAATAATATATATCATATGGACAGAACCTAATAGTTTCTTTGTGTATGTCTGTAGTACTGTATTTTTTTAAATACATGCTTACTTTAATTTGTTAGGTATTTTAATATGTAAGATGGGGGGGGGGGGGGGAAGTCGGGATATTATTGGTAAAATTGCGCTGCGGTCAGGAAAAAATGAGAGGGAAAGGAAAAGAAAAGAAAAATAGAGAAGTGAAACAAAAGAAACAGGGGGGGGGGGTGGAAAGAGAGGAGGGTGAGAGAGAGAGAGAGAGAGAGAGAGAGAGGGTGTTGCTGGGTGGAGTCGTTGAGGGAGCAAGAAAGATACATGTGTGTACTATATTAATGAAGAAGTTTGAACTATGTATAGATGTATATATTTTTTTGTGACTACAACTATAATACTTATTTTCTCAAAGTTTCACCAGCAATCATTAAAAATCATTGTCAATTATCATTGTCAACCTTGCTATAATATCAGCAAAAGAAATCAGGGGATCAAAAAAATCGCCCCAACTAGTAACAAACTCGGAAGATTTGATTGTAAGCGCAGCGCTCTTACCGATCCCGCCACACCGAATCATTGCCCGAATTGGTTTCATATTGGTTTATGTAGCGCCCACACCCCGAGGGAGGGGGCATACCTATGAAAGGAAGACAAAATAAGAAAGGTGTTGACTGAGATGCGTGGCAAAAACAAAGTCTTTATTACTTAATCTTCTACAATAACAGTCTTTTCTTACAATAACATATATACGATCAAATGGCATAACAATACTCTTCAAGTATTAAACACAAATAAATCTACCTGTTCGCATACATTGAATTCATTAGCTCTCAGTGTTCTCTTACTATATCACTAAGAACATCATCTGGTTAGTTTCATTACTTTACTATCTCTAAACAAAACTATCCTTACTTCCATGCTTCATTTAAAAGCGCAACTCTTCATCGATCTCATAATTATAACTTGGCTACTAATAAATAACTTAACCCTTATCAAATGTCTATAACATTGCGGTATCAGTCAATCTACTTTAGCTTCTAATCATATAACTCTTCACTTAGCGTCTCTTTCAAGAAATCACATATATAGACCTAATACAAGAATGTTGGCATAATCATCCCTATACTATTGCCTAATAAGCTTTCTACTCTTTACGCTCCATGCAAGACTGAGGATCCACTGTACACATAGACCCTTAGAATGCAATTCTACTCTCAGCCTTCACTAATCCCTAAATTCACAAGTTACTTTCTTGTCTCAGGACTTCACATTAATACTGAATAAACTTATAACTCTTCCTTAACTATAGCTCATGTATTTTCCAATAGTCATCTGCATCACTTTGATCTAATACTATCTTTTTCAGCCAGACTACTGAGCTTGAAAAGATACATCTTCAACAACTTATATCCTAAACTCCTTACAATATTCACAGCACTGGCAAATAGTCTTAGTCTGCAGTCTGTACTAATAGCTCTAACAAACTTACAACCAATATTACGAATTCCTCTTACTGTATAATCTCATCTTCACATACAGTTCATATTCTAATTCTACACAACAACCAATAGTTTACTGAATACATGTATATTCATTTCATGGTTATATACAAAGTAATGTGGGAGTGAAAGAGAAGGGGTGAATCATACAGAGAGAGAGAGAGAGAGAGAGAGAGAAAGAGAGGGAGAGAATATAAAGAGAGAGGGGGAGAGAGAGAGAGGGATATATATATATATATATATAGAGAGAGAGAGAGAGAGAGAGAGAGTAATTCCCAATAACATTTAACCTGAATTATCATTCCTAACAATATAATACAATGAATTCCAGACAGTGATTATGCAAGTCTTCAACTACAATATTTCATCAACCCATCCATCACTAGCTAACTATTAGACAATTTGACCATGTGCTTCTCAACAAGTGTATTCCCCAACTCAAATCCTTTGTCTTCTCATTTTGCTGACTCTACCAAACTTTCATTCCCGCCTAAGATACCATTTTCCAGCATGGGTCAAAAACAAACACATTCTATCTCTAACACTTCTCAACATAGCATTTGGGTATAGCATATACTCTATCTACACTGTGTGCGTGTAATGCATTGCAGTGGATGGTCAAGCTTGGGGGGAGAGGGGATTAAGAACTCTGATAAGAAGTTGTGTTCACATTGAACGCACTGCCATATCCTAATAACACACTAGTATTGTACACATGGTGCGTCCACACTCGCTCATACCATAATACTGAAAGTTAAAGATAATCTGGACTTGAACCACTCATTTCGCTATTAAAACTGTATCTAACCAAACTAGAATATATAACAATGTGCTTTGGCATAATGCATAGTAAATGGCACATGTCCTTGGCTAAGAATATATATATGTACACATGAATATCGAGCAAAAGACAAATATACTGACAGTAATATTCTCTTCTCAAAACTTACTTAAATGTTGTCTAAATCAAACAACATAATCATCAATCTCACACACTCGATAATACTTTCTTATCATTTCTACAAGTAATTACTATGTACATCAATGACATTATCTCTTCCCACATGGCATCTCTTCCCACATGGCATTTCTTATATTTCCACCCATAGTCCACATGTCATATAATCCAACATCTCATAGCCAAAGACCATTAATATCTCCTTTTATACAGTAATACAAGATATATGAATAGTGAAGTTATAATAGTTTAGAAATACACATATTATGAAGAACAAGAATATAACACAATTGAATAATAAGAGATTCTTTCTTACCTATGAAAGGAAGACAAAATAAGAAAGGTGTTGACTGAGATGCGTGGCAAAAACAAAGTGAGAAGCCACTCCTGGTATCCCAGCTGGTGTGTTTGGGTTAGTTGTGGGTGAGGCCACTCTCGCAGGAGGGGGTACCTAATTAACTAAGAGGAGGGACTATATGGGGGCTAGAAATATACTTGTGTCATACATACATAGTCAAAGATATACAAAAAAATAGGGGGGGGGGGGGGTATTCTGTGGGGCTCCACACCTTCCCCTCCAAAAATAAATGTCTCCTGGACATTTCAACTTCCAAACATTTACATCAATAATTCATGATTATAGTATAACATTTTTAACGTTCATATAGTTCTCGTTCAATGTCGCCATGAAGTACAGATGTAATGTATCAACTAAGTCCATGATTGTTTATAGTCCATGTCAATGCTACGCTCACAAATCATCGTGCTCTAATTCCTCTGTGAAATACATGTTGCACATCGAGTTCATCCACGTGTTGCGAATCAGTTTAGCGACCTAATAGGCTCTCGAAGTCTCAGCATTACCTATCATAAAATCATATCATAACTATGTGGCTTTTCCTTTCCATACAAATCAACTTTGCGTAACATAAACATCACACGCAAAATCCATTCCATGGACGCATCTGACATACGGTGAGGGTTTCTTGGGAACGTCTCGAGTCATTCCAAAGACTTTATCACTTAGATCAACAGATCACAATCGCGTGTCATCGCTTGTTTCTTTATTCGCTTGCTTCTTTATATTACACCACAATTCCTGAAATGATTAACAACTTGTTTCATCCTAACTCTTCGCGTCACTCCTATATCAGGTTTTACTAAACAGCACACATGATTCCATAACGATGCATCTAATGTGGTAAAAAGGGAAATCCGTTTACACGCATAACACAAATGGTGTAATGCTAGTGTTCTCCTTCGTCATTATCTGTTCAGCATCGCAACTGGTAGGGCATTCCTCGCGGGTCGAATGATTGACTCGCTCGCTGTGAAAAGTGAAGCTGGTCATCCGTCATCTGTCGTTGGTAGTGAGCTGGCTGCTGATGGGCTATCGGCGTCTGC